TCGAAGTACTGCGCACTGCTGTACTGCTGTGTGTATATAACATTTGCACATTCAAACGTGAAATGCCCAAGAGTGAAGACCAAACATTGCAAACTGGGGTCAATAAGCGACAACACGTGAAGGATGCAGCTGTCTAATGAGTCTAATGGTGACGGCTCAAACCCCTCTTGAAGCACAGAAATGGTTCTTCCATGCTAATCTTCCATCTGTCAAACGAGTGCACTGTAGTGATCCAACCCCTCTCGGTCACCAATCCCCGCAACAAAGGGGACTTCTCGATGCAGCTCATCAACAAGACTTTTTCGCACCTCCTGTCCACTAAAATCCAAACAAAAGCGCATCCTCCTACATGCCCAAGTCTCGCCATTTTCGTGAGCATGTGCCTTGTCCATCGCCCTCCCAAAACACTAAAGAAAGTCAATGACCATGCTGAGGAGGACCCTGAAGGTCCACTCGAACCCTGTTGTCGGTCCACTCAGTCCACTCATCATGTACTTTCATGTACCTTCAACAGACTTCCTGAAGGATCTTGGAGTTCTCTGGACCGACATCACCGGAGTTCGCTTGGAAACCGACCTGACCGCATGCATCGATGCGTCTCAGCTTGGGCGTGCCAGACTCCCAGAGCCAGTATCCGGCCAATACTCGAAGATGGGTTCATTCTCCAAGGTCTTGGCACTGGCCACCTGCGAGCCGTGCACTCCATGGGATGGATATGGATCATGAACCAAACTGAGAGGTGGACATACTCAAAGCCCGGAATACAGCACCACCGTTCATCCAGGATCATGGCCCATGGTGCCCGACCTGGTCTATGTTTCAGGGTTTCCGATTTCAAGCCATACCACTGGCAAAGGTGATCGAAGCTGTGTAAAGAGACCTGAAAGTGTATAGCAAAGCCTCAACACGCATCATATGAACTCCAATGCAACTGGCCATCTCCTTGATCCGTTGACTGTGCCTGCGATGGGTCAGTCTGGCCGTTGAACCTCGATCCACTGAACATCCCACCGCCGGGCTCGGAGCCTCCGCCATAAACTTCTCGACCTCTGAGGTGAGCTTCACGGACAATGGTAGCTCCTTGCTGCAAGACGAAGCTCGAGCCGGAAAGAGAATGTAGCTCATGAGAGGCACCGTGTGAGGATCTATGAAACAGTACCGGCTGCATCCCCTGAACAGGTGCCAGTGGAAACTTGCAACAAAGAAGAACACGCAGCCCAGTCCGATTCACAAGAACAATGTACCTTCCCGAACTCTACGCAAAAGGTAAGCCGGAGCTCTCTTAGGAGGCCATGTTCAGTTGCTGTGTGCTGCTCTCGGACGAGAACCAATCTTGATTGTCAATGTGTAGGCCACACATGTGCACATACCCCAAAATGGCAATCCTCACGTATGTAGATAGACTCTGGTGCAAAAGGGGGGTTGTCTTTTGATTTTCGAAGGGATTCGATCTTGTTTGATCGTTTTTGTTTGCAAACTTCAGCTCATACACAATATCACTTCTGCCCTGCCCATCTCTGGACTCTGAGCCACTCCCCTCCTTCATCTTCACCCACGGGCGTTTTTCCTCACCACACTTCCAACTCCCAAATTCATGCCTACTGTTCCTCGCTAGTAGCAAGGACACTACGAACGTAGCTCCTGGCATTACTACGAACCGAAAACAAGGACGCCTCCTAGCTCCTCGCTACGAACTTAGCTCCTGGCATCGCTACGACCGATGCTCCACTCCCTCCACCGATGCTCCGCTGGCTCCTCGGGCGTGGCGTTGTTCTCCAACGATCGTGGCTCGGTCACCGTGCCGTCCAAGTGTTCCGCGCGCAAGGCCTCGCGGAGGTCCTGGCGGGGGAGGTGGCTCCGGCCCTGTTCTTGGAGAGGTGCTGGGGGAAGACCATCCAAAGAAAAGCGAGCTATAGAATCTATAGAAGTGTATATATATATATATCTTTTGATATGTGAGCGTCAAGGAAAAAAGAGTGGATTTTGGGAGGATTTGGTTTTCATTTGGATGTTTTGTTTTTTTTCATTGCTGTGGGGTTATTCAGGCCCTTTCTACATGGTTTCTACACTCCGACCAGTTTCATCGAAATCAAAAGGCATCAGCCCTAGGGGCCTAGGAGACTGTACGTTCCTCAATTCTTCGAAAGCATGACAAATCTAAAGGCTACAGGCTTTCCAGTTGCATGTGATATGTGTTGTCGTAGCCTTCTTCTGCTCCTGCTCTTAGGTGTTGCCAGGTGGGCCACACCCAAGGGTCAGTGTGGGGTCAGGTGGGCCACACCCAAGGGTCAAACAACCTGCTTTCAAGTGGCAGATGATGACAACAGCTCGGCCAAAAGCACAAAGTGGTCTGACCTGGAGAGGCGCGGTGAACGTGTGGAGGTCCGGCAACTCGCCCAGGTCAGACCAGTGTTTCATCACCAATTTCAAGTGGCACGCATGGTAACACCTTGCGTGGCACCTCATGAACAAACAGTTGAGTGATGTGGGCGGTTTGCCTTGATGGCGGCCTATATCCAAACTCTTCTTTCTGCTTGGGAGACAATAGCATCCCTTTCCAGTCACTAAGCCACTAAGCACGATCAAAAACAACCAGGGATCTGCAGGAAATATCGCTCGTTACCATTCCTAGCGCTACAGACTTGGGAGTTTCCCAATTGGAGTAAATTATGATCTAACAGCTGTTCGAAGGATAACAGCCTCACAACCTCAAGCTAGCTCTTAAAAATCACAGAAGCACCAATGAACCCTTCGCCACCGCCCTTGGCATCTGGGGGTCAGGCCGGGCCTCAGTTTCGCGATGGTGCCGAAGCGACATGTGCGGGGAACGTTGAGAAACTTTGAAGTACCAATGCAACTCATTGGAGGATAGGAACCCTTGTAGAAGCGAAATGCAACGGAGAACTGCTGGCAGATTTTGGTGCTTATCTCTTTTTGAGACGGGTCTGCCGAAATCTAACCCGCAAAACCAGGAAAACAAGGCTGCCAACGTGTGGCGAGAAATGCCAAGAAATTCAATCTCCAACTGGGGCCTCCCACGCAGCTGGGACGGCTTGGTATCTTTCTGGACGTCTTAAGGCTGCAAGCAAGGTAATTTTGTGTTATTCTTCCTCGCCCTACTTGATATATATATAATATATGATGACAGGAACTTGCACCTAATAGAGCCTATAGTAGGAGAGTGCGCAAGGCGAATGAATCCTCCTTTTGCACCTGTCACTGCAATATGCATCAGCCCAAGAAAAGCTGACACGCCTCCAAAGTGGCTTGCACATGCGCAACCTATGCGGACTACAGTTAACACTAAGAGTGGAAAACCCTCGAGTGGCATGTTCCAATGACCAATTGTGCTAGGGAAACCAAGTCACCCCTACCAAAGAACTGTCCTTCTGCATCATAACATCAAAACATTTTTGGGGTGTTGTTCACCTGTCTCCCTGTGTCTGATGAAACTCGAGACCATCTCATGATGAGACTATATCTCCTGCCTGTCGCACTCTGCCATCTTCTTGGGCCTCTCCCCACCCCCCCACTGTTTCGCTCACTTTGCCGAGGCGCAAAGGTGATGTCTGTCAGCTTCCCTTTGAGACGAGCTTCCAAGACCTTCGCGAAGTCCTGCGAGTGACGGCCGGTTTTGAGGTCCGACCGGTGCTCCGGTGGGACATGCAACGCGTGGACTGGGTGAGGGCGATGAGTCATGTGAAAGGCCACAAAGCTTTGCCCCCAAAACCATCAAACACATAGGTTTGGGCTGCGGCCCAATTTTGGCATAGGGTGCAGCAAGAAGTTGGCTCAAGCTAGGGCGAAACGACATCGATAGCGTCGAACTACCTTCACAACCTTCACAGCTCTCCTCATCACCAATCCTGTAGAAGCTATATCTGCATCTGATAAAAGCCTTTTCTAGACGAATTTCCAGGCAGCATCGGAACATGATAAGCCGTGAGTGGTAGGTTTTCGCAATCACATCTTGATATTACTTCCCAAGGATTGGAGCTTCGACATGCAAAACTCCCATTGCGACCCTAAGAGGTTGAATCAATAGCTGTTTGTTCCATTTCAACAATCAAGTGGTTTCAACAACCAAGTGATCATCAAGTCAGTGGATCACACGATCTGCACAACCTTATTTTGACATATTTTGACCTTGGTCTCTAGCTCGTCACTCCGCCCTACTTTGTTCCCTCCTGAGGAGCCATGTCACATGGCGGACGGACGAGGGGCTGACTTTGGAGGGTCCAAGCAGCTTGCGAATTCCCTTTCGGTGAGGATGTGAACCATATCCCAGCTCTTACTTGCTATCTTGTAATCACCAGCTGTTTACAAACACCACCCCTTCAGTCGAGGGTAGATATTCAGACTCCGCAAGCCAAGCCATCATGAATTAAGCCACAACTAAGCGACAGGATCCCTGACTGAAACCCCTCCACTAGTTAAAACCTCAACCCCGCAGCACTCACAATTTGTTGTCTTCTTGAACATCAGCCTTCTTTATGAGTTCTTGGAGTGACTTCGGCTTGTGAATACATAGCTGAATATTTCAGCATGTGGGTTCCTTTATTTTCCCTGGACGATTTGGCTTCAGACTCCCAATACATCGCTTGGGTGCCGCAGCGTTGTTACCATGTGAACGGCTTGGGTGAGCAACGACAAGTGCATATTACGAAATGATTGAACATACCCATTGCTGGACATGTGTGCCTCGTCTTTTGAATATCATCATTAATGCTACTTGAGAGCCGAAAAGGTAGCGAAGGTAGAGCAGCCTGGTTCTTCTCTTCATGGCAGAACTCCTGGCAGCAGCACCTGCTCTGAAGACATTTGACCCGGCATGCGAATGTCAAAGGCTTAGACTTGGAAGGGTGACCGACCCCCTACTGCCGAAGAAAGCCCCGGCATTCACCGTCTCAAAGAAAAAACCGGGCGGTGGGTCGGTCGGTGACACCCGAACTCCGGATCTTGGGCGTGTGGCGCATGCATGAGCTGTGGCGCATCTTTTTGGTCACACTGCCAAGGCCTCAAGCAAAGGCATGCACACCTCTTGGAAGTCTTTGCTCAGGAACGCAGCCTGAAGGCAGCACAGAACAAAGAAACTTACAGCGAGCTCTTGGACATGAACCTCGGAGTAGGTAGCATTAATGCTTCCTCCATCAAGGTCTGTACGTCTCTGAGGGTCTATCTTTGCTTCACGGCCCCCTGGCTTTGATGGGGTTCATGGTGACCGTCCCAGGAATCCTTCGATGCGGATCGGATCTGCATCCATCTCCCCTCCTCTGATCTGAGATGTGAGAGAAGTTCCAATCAACATGACATTGACATAGATAGAGGGGAGGATTCGGAAGTTTCCCTCAAAATCTAGAACCAAATCATTCGTGCGAGCATGAGCTATCCTGCGTCCAGTTACTAGAAGCTAACTTAGCCTAGTAGCTTACTCTCCTTTACTTGATTGAGTAGGCGCGGGCTTTAAGCAAAAGAAAACAAATAAAGAGAAAAACAACTCCCTTTGCAGGTCCCATCGACCTCCGGTCAGTGACACAAACCCTTTCGGTACCAAGTTGCGAGGTACAACGCTTCCTGCCCAGCACAACTCGGCAACACCGAGGATTGGTCTCATTAACAACGATATACAACGACAAAAAATGCACGGGGAGCAGGGCTTCTAACAATGATTCCTGTCGGGGGCCACACCTCCAAATCCTCTCTGCATCACCATGCACAAACAAACAACTCGTTGAACACAGAACTTGCGTATCTATGTTGGGATGAGTTCTTGGCACATCATCCTTTATTTCTCGGGTGCGAGGCCTCTAGCACCTAACTAGTATTTCTCGGAGCAGCTTGTATTGCCAAACGGTCGTGGAAAAAAGAACAACACAACAACTGAAGGTCTCGGGTAGCAAGCCTGCTTTGCTGCGCTTCTCCATTCATCTCAGGAATGCATCTAATATCAACTCAATCTCCCGAGCTTTCCACTGGGAAGGACAACACCACAAACCCACCCTAGCAGCACAGTACACATCAGTTCCATCCTGTTGCATAGATGGGTCCTGCACTCCATGTCCGGCTGGCTGGTTCAGGATGTCCTTTTCAAAGCGATGAACGTCCTCGCCCTGCGTCACGTTCATCAGCGCGACCTGTGGAGCTACCATCGTGGGCAGCAGGCTGCCGCCCTTGCGGCCTCAAACACGGTGGGAAGCGAAGCGGAAGCTCGGCAGTCAGGGGCGTGTTTCACTCCCATGAGGAGACTGAACAGGGATGAATATTGTTGTTTGTTCCATTTTTTCCTCTGCATCTTCAGAATCTAAAGAATTAGACTCTCCCTGCTTCTCCTTCTCATCCTCTGAGTTTTTGGCTATTGTATGTTCTGTAGCATGCTGGAGACGCGGGCCATCTCATTTTAAATCCGGATATGCAAGATTAGAATACCAGCATCTGGAGGAAACTTAGAATATCTCAAAAAGTGACCATGACATCAACGCACTTCACGTTCAGTCCAAACGGGTAAAGGAGGGTGAAGGGAAGGATGAAGGTTTCAGAAAGCTCCATCATCCCCTCATCCTGCCATCGCCTCCTCCTCTCAAGTCTTTATATTATATTGGTCTTAGCACAAAATTCACATGCAACCGGCTCCTTGCTTCACCTTATGCTTCATCTCCTGAATTGTCCCACCCATCTGCAAGCTCCGCAGCGCTTTCAAACGAAGCGCTGCGTCAAACCAAGCGGCAACCCACGGGGCAACAAATCAGCTTCAAGAAGTCCGTGCCGAACAACGCCGCGGCCGAGTCCTTGGGACGACAACGCCACGGCTCCGGGAGAAAAGGTGAGTCGAAGTGGGGAGAACTGGGGAGCATCCTTAAGGGCGAACGATGTAGTGCAACTTAGGGAGCGATGGGGAGTGCGGGCTCTTGTAATCTCAGAAAGCCAGCAAACCAGGGCTTCCCCATTGATCTCGTAGGTGAACGTCACCGGAGGTGCCACCTGGTCCGGGAAGGTGACGGTCGACCAACAGCACCAAGGGTGCAGTGCCCGTTAATCAATTCATAGAATCGAACTGGACTCGTCCGTGTGAGTAGTTCACATCCGGAATCACATCCTGCCAATAGTTCATGCCGGACATCACCTGAGTGAGAACTGTGAGAACTCAAGTAAGATTAAGTGACTCAGAACAAACAAAAAATGTCAAAAATGCGTAAGCATTCCATGGAATCTCATACATCTTGAAGTAAACAATCCGGAAACAAACTGAGCACAAACACACACCACACACACACATATCGCACCCAAAACATTTGTAGTTCTGGTAGAGGCGCAGCGGGTCGTGTCAGTGTACCCACCCCCGTCAAGGCCGGCATGAGGGAATATCCCTGCATTGTGGGAGATGGAAGAATGCCGGCCAATTCCTTAGTAGCACAGCCCAGCGCCAGGACTCAACAGGAGCAAGGCAGCAAACAAGCTTCGTTTCCGACACTGCTGTATTGTCTGGCTACCATTCCGCCCTATTCCGCCGACCTGGGCCCACCCGGCCCGAAGCCACACCTTCTAACAACGGATGGCAACCCGTTCTATCTGAACTCTCATCTCTCATCAAGCATCCAAGAATGTCATGGGCACATCAATGGTTGACACTGGGTGGTACTCCTTCACGTTGTGACGAAAAGGCGCGCCTCAGAAGGACGCATTGACGTTATTAACCACATTGATGTTCACTGAAATTATAACCAAACAAGTCAAACCCCAGAAGCGATGCAAACAACAAATATCAACAAATTGTATAAGTCTTTTAGGTCGCTTCGGGCAGCCCAAGTTCTTTGAACCCGATCCCCCCCGTGCGTGCGAGCAAAAACGGCGCGTGTGAACCTGATCACACGATGGACACCCCCCTCGCCTGCAATGATCAATGGGACATGCACCGCAGGCTCAAAGGGACTGGTTTTGCCAAACTGCCCATGGTCGCCTTGTCGCCAAGAGGGCCCATGATGACCATCGAATGGACACCGGCGTGGATGCTATGACTCTTGGACAATGATTTTCCAAATGTCTAACAAGGGCATGCTCACTTCTTTGTGTCTCCTTTCATGGCATTGCTTTTCGGTCTGAGATCTTTTGTGCTTCTATACTAGCGTGTGATAAATGACATATAGTTCTCTCTCTCTCTCTCTCTCCCGCCCTCTCCATCGCCATATAGTTATATTATATATATATAACTAATTTCGTTATTACTCAACGCATTGATTTTATGAGAGTATGAATCCATGATACCCTGTATCCTGCAAGCTTCTAGCAGGATGGTTTGACATCATAGCAGTCATAGCATTATATACATTTAATTGTATGATACCATAATGATATATATATATATAATATCTGGATTCTTTGACGCAATCTGCAAACCTCTCATGGATCCTCTAGGCTTGGAGTGTCTGGTTCCCCACGCTGCTGGGAGCTCATCACAGGCCACATGAGCAGAATATTGGCCTTCTAGAGTTCCAACCATGTAAGCTTTGTGATTAGCTGCTTCCGTATCATCTACACCGATTGGAGGCTACTTTAACCAATCAGAAAGCCACACCAACGAAAATGAGCCAAAATCACCCTGCCGCCTCGGAAATCAGAAAGGTCTATATAATAACTATATTACACATGGATCTGGATACACATGGTACATCCTGAGGTTGCCAAGACGGCCTAGGTGTTCGCCATGATCTCCGATGACGGCCACCACAGTCTCCCCCGGCATCTGATCCACTGTCTTTAGCAGCTCCTTCACTGCTGTTGCCAACTCCAACGGTGGAGTGACAGAGGAGCATGTTGGTGATTTTCACGCAAGTATGTGTGTACCATGAGTTTCTTGTGGTGCACGCTTACGGGGTAAAATAACGTAGAACCCCAATGGAGTGCCCACTGGTATAGTAGATCTTTGGGTAGAAAGTGCACACAATCAGCGATGAAGGTACAGTAGTCTTCAGATCAGGGATCTACCCCAGACGTCTTTGGACAATTTTGGGTTTCATGGTTTCATGATGTTTCATGTTATGACTTCATCACATTCGGCAAAACTTTGGTTCTGTGTCTTTCCAACGGTACATTGGCCACATCCTCTTCCTCCGATTTCTCCTCCCTAATTACTCGAAACTGCTCCTGTTCCTTGAAATTCCGACATGTGTAGAAGACGGGTCCTCCCAGCGCAGAATGCATTCTTTCACACCAGGCATGAAAGGGTCCAACCGTGAACAGGGCAGAGTGCAGCACTGAATAAATATCCACAGATCGAAAAGGTCAGCCATGGTAAGTTGCCACCAAATTGGGCGACTTTCGCCAACATCGCTGGGTTCCAGGATGGTCCAGGGTCACCTTACTCACTCGCACCGAGTCGATCCTTCGCATTTCGCGCCCGAGAATCTCGATCGATGAGTGCGTGGTTGTCGGTCGCACTCCTCGAGCTCTTCATCGATTTGCTGCAGGAGCGCGGCATACTGCTTGCGGCTGTCAGTGATGTTCACATAGCCATGGAAAATATTTGGGACCTCTGGCAACGGCAATGCGCGGACAGGGGAGCACCAAAACAGCAAGCATCAGCAAGCCCGGGGGGGCCTCCACGCTGGTTCTGGGAAGAATTTAAGGGACTATTCACTCTAATGCGATTGAGAGCTAGTTGACCTCAGCATTTTTTTGAGAGGTCCTAATTGCCCACATTGGTTGGTTGCTTGTAGAGACCATGATCTTTAGGACAAACGCAATGGCAAGCTGTCCAGGTCCACCACATCAGGCTTGCCATGGCTGTGAGTCTTTCGTCCATGAAACCTCTCACGTGTTCCTCACGTGGCTTCTCTGACCTTAGGTGAAGCATTTCGGACCAAAGGTGCCTAGTTCATCCTAGTGGATGATGAACTAGTGGTCGGCCAAAGGGTCCCTAGTATTTAAGCATGTTTCAAACTGATATACCTCTTGAGTGCTCATACTCCACAAACGTTCCACACACCTGAGGGAAATACTGGTGCCCCCCACCCAAACTACTAGGGATCTCAACCCCATTCGTTGCCAATCCAGCCATCCGGTGCGTTCAAAACCGGTGCATCTGGTCGGTCCCAAGTGCCATTTGCAGCCCATGTAGGTCGAGATCAAACACCTCCGCAAGATCCGATCGGACATGATGCAACTCAAGGGATCTAAATCCAACTGAGGGCCTCCAGAGGGCTCGAATCAGCATCTCAGCATTTGATTGACAAATATAGGTATATGATTTTTCTGGAACTTCACCATGCTGACCCAATTCAACTCTGTAGATATAGATGCGCAATGCACAAAGGTGTTTCAAATAAATAGCGTGTGAACTATGACCAAGATTAACCAAAATCCTATTCTCCGTTCTTCTCGTAATTATGCCCCAAAAATGTGGACAGCATTCCGGCAGGAATGTGACCTCCTTGAAGCCAACACTAGTGATATCCTTGGCGGGTGCTTTGAAAGGATGACGTTCGCCGTCCGCGCGACGCTCCCCCCATGGGCTGCTGCTCAGGTCACGGGCTGCTGCTCCGACCCGGACACATCGATGGCTTCCGGCAGTGAGGTCGATGGCAGGGCGGTGGAGCTTTTGAGGATGAAAGGTGGATGAGGACCCAGGAAGTTCACTTGCAGAAACCAGGGGCTCCTGAGTTCCAGGTACGGTCTGCACCGAACTGTCAGTCCAAACTTAACAAAATGGTGTGTTGGGGTAAGGGGGTACATGTCTTTTTGAGAAATCGGCAGGAACATGCTCAGACCCGTGATCAACGATTCAAAAAGGATCAACGGTACCAGCATCCTAATCTTGCAGGTCACACGTCTCCGTCTCCCGTTGCCAAACACTGACATCTGCCACTCACGCAAAAGCACTCCAAAGGGTCAAACAACACGGCGATTGCGGAATGCGGATTGCTAGACACGTAGCTTCGAAGTGACCTTCTTGGCTTACATGGCATTGGTAAAGCAGGTGCTGGCACTAGTTTGGTTGCGTATTGTTGTTGATGGACAAGTTCTGACAAGTCTGAGAATAGTAGCTTCATAGCACATGAACCACCAACATCCACCAACCAACAATGAGGACGCTAAGAATGCAGCCTTGCTGGTTCAACTCGGCCCAATTACTTTTTTGTGTACAATAAGTCGCTATAGATCTGCATAGATCTGCAATGCAAACTTTGCAAATGGGTCCCGGGGAACTTATTCGCCAGCCAGCACGAGTCCAATGGTATTCAATCGATACATCCAACGACTTCTCCAAGAGTCGCACCATGGTCCTTCCTCAGCAGGCAGTGGGCCGGTCACAAGCGATGGCCGCCATGAAACAGCGTGGGGAAGCGACAGTCAGGACCTGGTGACTTCAGTGATATGAACCTGACTCACTTGACGCTTGATTTACAATTGGGCTCAAAGCCAAGGTGTGAATCATCTCACAGGACCACAAACGCCTTGAACGGAGTTTCTGCGGACTGACTCGGAGGGGTCACCAGTTGTCAGGGATCGTTCCACTCCTCTCGGATTCCCAAGTGCCAATCGGTGATTGTGGTATGAACAGCGGCATCTCATGACCACATCCTTTGGTCCACAAAACCTACCACTCATGGGTTGACAAAATCAGGGTTGACAAAATCAGGCGCTAACTGGTGCTTCTTCGGCCAACTCAAACAGCAAAAGCAGGAGCAGAAGGAGCAGCAGCAGCAGGAGGGAGCAGTAGCAGCGGTGCCATATTCTGTTCAATCCAGGTGCCCGGAGGAACCCATGTAAGGCTTATGTTTGTGCTTCTGTGTATCTGTTTCGTTTCCCTCGAACCTCTGCCACGGGTGGGGGGGAACACCAGCAAGCACCTTTTTGGAGCCAAGTGGCTGATGGGAATCCAAGAGCTCTTGTGCACTTCGTCGCACCCAAGCATCAGGGCTATGCTCTTCATCCAGCTGGTTGGGCATCATGCACCTGACATCTGCGCATGCAAACCCGTCTTCTTGGAAGCGGAGGAAACTGCTGCGCTG